TTTCTAAAGTCGAAGAACTTCAATGTTTGGCAACGTGGAAAGATGGTTCGACTCGTTACATGGTCGGAAAATTATCACACAACAGAATAAAAACAAACGAAGAATCCTATAGGTGTTTCGTATACGAAAGAGTTCAAACTCACGATAGGAAAGTTTCGTATAATGTTGCACAAAGTGGAGATGCCACGTGTAACGGTCTACCTTCCGCTTTGGAAGGTTCAAAGGTCATGAGATTAACAAAAGGTTCGTATGGATATATATGTATATATGTCGTCGCTGACGTTTATTAACATTTATGAGAATTTTTTTTTTTTTTTATTTTCCAGTTGAAAACGCTCACACGAAATGTAAATACCCGACGTGGATAACCGAACATCATCATTGGCACACTTTGGACTATAAGAAATCTTATCATTTTTCACATAAGAATGCAACTTTAAAAATAACCGAAGATGTCAATACAGGTTATTATTTATTATTATTATTATTACTTTTTAACACGACGAGATTTTGTGTGCCTGTCGGAGATTTTGAACGTTTATTCCAGGTCTCCTATACCCGATTCCATAGTGCTGCTGCTTTCGAAAAATGTGGGCCGTCCCACGTAGTGCCATTTACTGGATGGTTTCTTCTTTTAAATTCTAGAAAATCTTTTTGAAATTTCCTTTAAATAAATGTGGCATGGCTTCCAGTGGCTTTACTCTTTTCATTCCGTATCCAGTAAAGATACTTACAGATTTTATTGTGCCTCTCTAGATATTCATGCTTTGCCAATATCGAACGACCGGAAATTAAATGATTGAGTGTTTCCGACAGCAGCTTGGTCCTGAGCATCTGCAATAAACGCTTCTGTTTCAGCCTTCAATGTTCCTTACCTTAGCCAGCTGTTCGTGGTGTTCTTATTAATATCTGAACCGTTTACTCTCCTCAATATTGTCCACGCAACTTTTTCTGTTCCCATTTGCTCTCAAGCTTCTTTTGGGATTGGGCTTTGCTATCATAGATTGCAAGCAGCCTTTCCTCCAACTCGTTACCTTCTATTATTATCATTATTATTACGTACCTTCCGGAATCCTTTTTCGATCAGTTTCCTGTTTAGGCGGAGTGTAACCGATGGCACCATAACCACGCCCACAGATCCGAATAAATTCTACAAAAATTTATTTTTTTCCAGGTAATATACGTTCCGTAACTTTGCCTTATACGTCAGGCATAAGAAAACCAAACTCGGCGGAAATGCGGGTGGTTTGTCATTCTGAAGTTAAGACTGAACCTCAATATTCAATTGTTATCGCTCACGTGACAAACGGCTGTGATAGCGGTTACATTTGTTTGGGTTTTTACCGTCGCGACAGCACAGTCATCGAATTACAACAATCGACAAATCTCGTACAGGTTCCCGACGAAGCCTGCAATCAGAATAATTTCGATCCGTCAAAATTACCGTTCATCACTTTAATAAGTAAGTAAAAACAAACAAATTTATTTATTTATTACTCTATGAAATGATGATGAAGATGATGATGATAATTTTTGTTTTATTTATTTCATAAAAAACAGCCGCGTCTTTACATCAGAGAAA